AGCTCTGGAGATGAACATCTGCACCATCTCTCCATCCGTTGCCCTTTCATCCTTCAAAGAAGCCTCTCTTGGTGGTTTCAGGCTCTGAGGTTGGTTGCAGCACCAGCAGATGTGAAATTGTGGAGGTGTGTTAGTCAGGGGGAAAGGAGTACAGTACCCCAGGCAGTGCATGAAGCACAGGACACGAAAATGGTTCCCTCTGCCTCCCATACCCACCCATTCCTGGAAAAGTAAATCAACCAAAGAAAATATTATGGCTCCTTTCCATTCCTTGGGGCTCTTTCAACCTCCAAGCACAGGGATTGCGGGGGGAGGCAGAGGTGGGGGCTGGCAGAGAGATGCTTTGTAGATGGTGGCAAAATCTCAGGGCAGCACCGTGGAAGATACACTTCTTGGAAGTCCTCTGTTTTCCATAGAAACCAAAAGGGAGGAGCAAAGCAATTAAACAGGCAGGAAAACATCTCCCATAAATCAATAGACGGGAGCAACTTAAGAATGCCCGATGCCAAGAAAAAAATCATTTTCTATTGTTCATCTATGGCAGTGATGGCTAACCTTTTTGCCATCACGTGCCAGGAGAGTAGGGGGTGGGGGAGGTTCGCGCATGTGTGTGGCCACACCCATAATTCTATGAACCCTGCCCTGCGCATACATGCGCAACCCCCCTCCCCCGTTTCTGGCATGCGATGGCCTGGTAGGCCCGTTTTTCTTTCTTACCTGGCTCCAGATCTTCTCTATGCATCTGGGAAGGGCGAAAACAGCCTTTCCCTCTCCCTCTGAAACCCTCAGGAGGCCTGAAAGGGCCCATTTCCCAACTCCCGGTGGGACAAGAAGTGACGTTTTTTGCTCTAGGAGTCTCTGGAGGCTGGGGACAAACCCCTGTGCATCTTTGATGGACACCTGAGATGCCAGAGGTCGACCTCAAGGCACCTTGTGTGTGGGGTGCCGCAAGGGTCGGTCCTCTCGCCCCTTCTGTTCAACATTTATGTGAAGCCGCTGGGTGAGATCATCCGTGGTTTCGGGGTGCAGTTCCACCAGTACGCTGATGACACTCAGCTGTACATCTCCACCCCGGACCACCCCAATGATGCCCTTAACATGATGTCCCGGTGTCTGGAGGCCATGCGGATCTGGATGGGGAGAAACAGGCTCAAAGCTCAACCCGTCGAAGACTGAATGGCTGTGGCTCCCGGTGTCCCAATATAGTCAGTTGGTGCCATCTCTGACTATTGGGGGTGAGTTGTTGGCCCCCACAGAGAGGGCTCGCAACTTAGGTGTCCTCCTGGATACACGGCTGTCCTTAGAAGAACATGTGACGGCCGTGGCCAGGGGGGCTTTTTATCAGGTTCCCCTGATCCACCAGTTGCGTCCCTTTCTGGATCGGGACTCCCTATGCACGGTCACTCATGCCCTCGTCACTTCTCGCCTGGACTACTGTAATGCTCTCTACATGGGGCTCCACTTGGGGATCACCCGGAGGCTCCAACTGGTCAAGAATGCGGCCGCACAGGTGATTACGGGGGTGACTTGGCACTCCCATGTGACACCTCTCCTGCGCGAGCTGCACTGGCTCCCAGTGGTCTTCTGGGTGCGCTTCAAGGTATTGGTTCTCATCTTTAAAGCGCTCCATGGCTTAGGGCCTGGGTATTTACGAGACCATCTTCTGTCACCGATAACCTCCCACCGGCCAATACGCTCTCACAGAGAGGGTCTCCTCAGGGTGCCGTCGGCCAGGCAATGTCGACTGGTGACCCCCAGGGGGAGAGCCTTCTCTTTGGGGGCACCCGCCCTCTGGAACGAGCTACCCCCAGGAATACGACTGATCTCAGACCTCCATACTTTCCGTAAGGCCCTGAAGACTTTCTTATTTCAGCAAGCCAGGCTGGCTTAAAAATATTTTAATGGGTTAATTTTAGTGAGGGGTTTTAAATTGGGGAAGCCTAAATTGATTTAATTACTTTTAAACTATCTTAACTTTTATATTGTATGTATTTTAATATTTGGCTGTTCACTGCCCTGAGTCCTTCGGGAGAAGGGTGGTATATAAATTTAATAAATTGAATTGAATTGAGGAAAAGGAGAGGAGTGAGAGGGAGGGATAAGAGAGGGGGGAGGAAGGAGGAGAAGGGGAGGAGGAAGGGGGAGGGAGGAGGGGAGGGGAAGAGAAGGAGAGGAGGGAAAGGTGAGGAGGGAAAGGGAGGGAAAGGAAAGGGGGAGGAAGGGAAGGGAAGGAGAAGGGGAGGAGGAAAAGAAGAGGAGGGAGAGGGGAAGAGAAGGAGAAGGGGAGGAGGGAAAGGAGAGGGGGAGGAAGGAGGGAAGGGGAAGGGAAGGAGAAGGGGAGGAGAGAAAGGAGAGGAGGAAAAGGGAGGGAAAGGAGAGGGGGAGGAAGGAGGGAAGGGGAAGGGAAGGAGAAGGGGAGGAGGGAACGGAGAGGGGGAGGAAGGAGGGAAGGGGAAGGGAAGGAGAAGGGGAGGAGAGAAAGGAGAGGAGTGAGAGGGAGGGATAGGAGAGGGGGAGGAAGGAGGAGAATGGAAGAGAAGGGGAGGAGGAAGGGGGAGGGAGGAAGGGGAGGGGAAGAGAAGGAGAAGGGGAGGAGGGAAAGGAGAGGAGGGAAAGGAGAGGAGGAGGAAGGAGGGAAGGGGAAGAGAAGGGGAGGAGGGAAAGGAGAGGAGGGAAAGGGAGGGGGAGGAAGGAGGGAAGGGGAAGAGGAGAAGGGAAAGGAGAAGAGGGAGGGAAAGGAGTGGGGGAGGAAGGAGGAGAGGAAAAGGGGAGGAGGGAAAGGAGAGGAGGGAAAGGGAGGGGGAGGAAGGAGGGAAGGGGAAGAGGAGAAGGGAAAGGAGAAGAGGGAGGGAAAGGAGTGGGGGAGGAAGGAGGAGAGGAAAAGGGGAGGAGGGAAAGGAGAGGAGGGAAAGGGAGGGAAAGGAATGAGGGGAAGAGAAGGAGAAGGGGAGGAGGGAAAGGAGAAGGGGGAGGGGGAGGGGAAGAGAAGGAGAAGGGGAGGAGGGAGAAAAGAGGAGGGAAAGGGAGGGAAAGGAGAGGGAGGGAGGAAGAAGGGAAAGGGAGGGAAAGGAGAGTGGGAGGAGAGGGAGGGTGACATGTCTGAACTCTGCACCATCTCTTTTCACTTTCAGTCTCTTTTCTATTTTCTCATTAATAGAAATGCAAATTGCTTACAGATCAAACACAGACGTCTTTAAAGGAGGCTCAGCTTAACGCCCAGGAAGGAAGGAAGGAAGGGTTTCCTTCTGGGAAAAGAGCTGGGGAAGGAGGGAGAGGAAGAGAGAAGGATCCAAGCCAGGACCCCCCCCTTCCCTCTCTCCCAGAAACTCACCGCAAAAGCCTCCCAGCACGAGAGGCCTCAGTGCCGCCGCGAGGGACAGGAGGGGTCCCTGGTGCAGCGGCATCGCCCTCCGAACAGGGAGGCCTTTGGCACTTGTAAGCAGGGCCGGATTTAGATGAAAAGAGGCCCTAGGCTATTCCACTTATGAGGCCCTTTCACCTATAGTGGACCCAGTCCTTGGGGGTCTCCATCTTTTGTGTCTCTCCCTCCTTCCCTCTCTGGAGGCTGTGGAGACCAAAATTTGGGGGCCCATTTTTGGCCTCCCGGGGCCTCCGCGCCAGTGGTGGATTGCCCCCCCGGTTCGCACCAATTCTATAGAACCGGTAGTAAAACCGGTGGGAAGCCCCGCCCACTGATCCCAATGTCACCAAAACGCTTCTGCGCATGTGCAGAAGAGCGCACGCGCGGCCCCACTGCAAACCGGTAGTAAAAGGCAAGTAGAACCCAGCCCTGCTCTGCGCGTCCCATTTTTGGCCTCCTCGGCCTCCAGAAGGCAGGTGGGGGCTGGCAGGTAGGTGGGGTGATGTGTGCAGGGCAGCCTTGAGGTCCTGCACGGGCCGGATTAATGGCTTCAGCAGGCTGTATCCGGCCCGTAGGCCATAGTTTGAGGACCCATGGTCTATGAGATAGTGGCTTTCCGTGAGAATCATGTCCCCCCACGTGTCTGCCTTTCCTTCTGACTGGATCCTTTCCCCCTTTCCTCCTGTCCCTTTCCCCCTTTCCCTTCCCTTCCCTGTGACTTTTGTTCTCTCCTCTCCCCCCTTTTTTCCTTTACTGCTTCCTCCTAAAAGTGATCTTATCTGCAAATGTAAAAACCGGATTTAGAACAAAAACAGTAGAAACATTTGGGGGGAGGTGAAGCCCTTAAGCAAATGAAAGATCAAGTAGCAGGCAGTCAACTCAAAAATGGACAAAAACTTTCCTGCTAACGAGAGGATTTTAACCCTAGAAGGCCATGATTTACAAAAAGGGTGGCATGCCCACATGTGGGACGTAGAGAAGAAAAGGAAAACATACTTTCATAGACACAAAATTAGAGACTCATTGATACAAACATGGATCCCGATTAGGCAAACATATTACAAAAAAGTCCCAAGTTGGCTCTCTACAATGGAGGCCCTGATCTACCCCAATAGATGGGGAATGGAGAAAATGGGCAGGTATAAAGATATTTTATTTATTTATTTATTTATTTATTTTAAATTTATATACCGCCCTTCTCCCTGAGGACTCAGGGCGGTGTACAGCCAGAATTAAAAAAAACATGGAATACAAATATTAAAAACAATTAAAATATATATAAATTTGGCCCAAAATTAAAAATACAAACCAATTAAAACATTTAAAATTTCTTCTTAAGCCAGCCTGGCTTGCTGGAAAAAGTGGGTTTTAAGGGCACGGCGGAAGGCGCTAAGGTGTTGGATTCTCCTTATCTCTGGGGGCAACTGATTCCAGAGGGTAGGTGCCCCCACAGAGATCTATATCTTAGATAAAGGAGGGAATCTCAAATCAAATAACACTTTGAGAGAGCAAGGAATAATTTTAGATTGGTGGACCTATTTACAAATAAAATCCAGATATCAGAAAGACAAAGAACAATACGGCTTAGAATTTGGACCTAATAGGTTGGATAAAGTCCTGATGGGAACAGGCAAAAAGATTTTGGCTAAACTATATAATTATTTATTAGATGATGATAAGTCCGAGGATACAACAAAGAATCAAATAAATGCATGGGAGAAAAATATTGGACGAGATATAAATTTTAGTGAATGGGAGGAGGCATGGAATAGGAACCTTAAACTGACCAGAGCGGCGACATACAAGAAAAACCATTACAAGATGCTCCATAGATGGTATTTAGCCCCGGCTAGGCTAGCAAAGATATACCCCAATATACACCCTAATTGTTGGAAATGTGGCCATGGTCAAGGCACCTTCTTTCACATGTGGTGGACATGCCCGGAAACAAAAGGATATTGGAGTAACATCAGGAGATAGTTATACGAAATAACTGGGGAAGATATTGAATTAACACCAGAAATATTTCTCCTGGGAATAGTTAAGAAGCCATACGGAAAGTCAAAGATCCACTTAATGATTCATATAATTACAGCCTCCAGACTGGCGTATGCACAGTATTGGAAAGAGAAAACCCAACCACCAGAAGAGCTTATAATTAGGAAAATACTGGAGTGTGCAGAGATGACTAAATTAATTTATGAATTAAACGATGATGAGAAGTCAGATTATTATATTGAGTGGGAAAGGTGGTATAAATGGATGCATGATAAAATGAAAGAAAGACCAAAAGGTGTGTTAAATAATGGTAAAAAGTAATTTGAAATATCACCAGAAATATTTTTCTGTATAGTTAAAACACTGCACATCTGATGTTAATTGAAAATGTCAATATATTTATGTTTTTTTAAAAAACTCAATAAAGTTTTTTCCAAAAAAAAAAAAACAAACTTTCCTGCTATTGTTGCCCATCATCCCTCTCAAAAGAGAAGTATATAAGAGGATATTTGTTGGGGGTCCTGTGCAGTCCCTCCCCAACCCTGCTGTTCTTGGGCATTTTTACAAGAGAAGTTGATTCTTCTTTGAGTCAAGTTTATTCTTGCTGCTCTCAGCATAGATCTTGTTAAATTATGTTTCTTGTAGGGGGTCGTCCCCCCCCCCGCGAGATTACCCCTATAAAATCAATTGCAAGTTGATTTTCAAATTTAAATTCCAAGATTTTCTGCATTGCACTTTCTGGACTTTTGATTTCTTCTGTGCATTTGCTATACGAGACGAAGCATTCCTTCTGATTCATGGCATTCTCCCTGTCTTTATGGAGAAGATGGATATTGCAGCATTGAAAAGATAAATGGGGCCTTTCACTCAATGGGGGGAGGCCCTGACTACACTCAACAGGTAAGTGGATGACCTGCATGCGTAGACTTGTAGGGACAAATATAATGAAACATGAGACTTGTTATTACAAAATATAGTGTTAAAAGAAAACAACAGACTTTTCTTAGGGGCCTGTCCCCCCCTACAAACACTCTGCTGCACCCCGCACTCCCCCCCCCCGCAACGCATCAGGTCTTCCAGGCACTTCAGATTGTAAAAAAACAACAACACATTTCTTCTGATTCTCGCCCCCCCCCCACAACAATCCTGTGAGGTAGGCAGAGGTGAGAAGTACCCTTCCTGGGCTGAGGGTGAGAGGCGAGGCTCCCGGAGAATGAATGGTCGCAGGGCTGCCTTGGCGGAGTCTGCTGTCCAGGACCGAAGAAGGAGCCGATGGCCGGAGACGAGAGAGGGAGGCAAGGACTGTCATTTGGCATCCGGTGGCTGATGACCGCCCCAACGAGGGTTAAGAGATGCGGGGCAGAGTCTCATTATATTGTGCAAGGATGCTATGGGACGATAATAGTTTCTTTACTGCAGAGAAGGCAGTGGCTTCCTTCCGTCCCCAGGTCCAATTCGCCTTCCTTGTCTAGCAGTCGGTGTGGCGGCTCAGCTACTGTCGCCTTCTGTGGCAGAAAAATACGATAAAAGTTTAATGGGCCTAGAAATGCCTGGAGTTCTGTCTGATTCTTTGAGGTGGGAGCTTCCTGTATGGCCTTGATGTTTGGCTTTTGGTAGGGTGTATCCGGGGGTGGGTTTCAATTTTTTTTACTACCGGTTCTGTGGGCATGGCATGGCATGGCATGGCGGGCGTGGCAGGGGAAGGATACTGTAAAATCTCCATTCCCACCCCACTCCAGGGGAAGGTTACTGCAAAATCCCCATTTCCTCCCCACTCCAGGGGAAGGTTACTGCAAAATCCCATTTCTTCCCAATCTGCTGGGATTTGGGAGGCAGAGAATAGATGGGGGTGGGGCCAGTCAGAACTTTTACTACCGGTTCTCTGAACTACTCAAAATTCCCACTACCGGTTCTGCAGAACTGGTCTAAACCTGCTGAAACCACTTCTAGGTGTATCCCTGAGCCGTCAATTAAATATCCCAGAAATTCAACTTGTGGCATGGCTATCTGGCATTTTTCCTTTTTTAACCTAAAGTCCGGGCTTCTCGAAACCGACTCAGGACTCTCTAGTGGGTGGATGAGATCTTCTTTAACACGAGAACATCATCAAAGTAAGGCACCAACCCAGGAATGCCCTGTAGGAGACGTTCCATTATAGCAGAGGTCTTCAAACTTGGCCACTTTAAGACTTGTGGACTTCAACTCCCAGAATTCTGCAAATGCTGGCTGGAGAATTCTGGGAGTTGAAGTCCACAAGTCTTAAAACGGCCAAGTTTGAGGACCCCTGCATTATACTTTGAAAGAGCCCTGGTGCCACGCTTACACCAAATTGCAGCTGGCGGCATTTAAATGCCCCTCTGTGTGTTACAATAGTGGCATCGTCCACTGGCAGTTGCTGATATGCTTGAGCTAAATCGAGTTTTGCAAAAGTTTTGCCCTTTCCTAAGAAGTGCAATAAATGCTGAACGACTGGCACAGGGTAGACACTCTGTTGTCAATGCCTTATTGAGGTCTCCCATTTAGCGTGATCAACCGGCTCCAGAACCCCCCGGGGAATGATGTGGACTAAAGGTGGAGCTCTTGCCTCACAATCAGGAGATCGTGAGTTTGATCCTAGGTAGAGGCAGATGTAGGATCTTCTGCTTGGACAGGGGGTTGGACTAGATGACCTGCAAGGTCCCTTCCTGTTAAAATTGACTGTCTATCTGGGGCCGGAGAGCAAAAGGGACCCTCCCCAACGTTTCATTCAGGTGGGGGCGACTTTGGGGTCTAGGGTGAAAGAGATGGGTTTCCCCATGTACTTGCCCAAACTCCCGTTGAAGACGTCCGCGAATTCCTTGGTCAGCTCCTTGATGCCATCATCTTGGAAGGACAGTCCTAAACCCAGAGCGTCGAACCATTCCAGTCCAAGCAGGCTTGGCCGGTCGTCTTTCACCACGGTCAGCTGCAAAGGTCCGACAAAATTGTTGAATTTGACTTGGAAGGATCCCCTCCCTATGACGGGGATGCGGTATCCTTGATAGGTCTTTAAAAGTACCTTCTGAGGCGTCAATTGTTTCTTTGCCAGTTCCGGAACCGCCGCCTTTATGGTTTTCCAGGACACAATGGTCATGCACGAACTCGTGACCACCTCCATGTCGCACGGAGACCCTTCGATGAGAACGGTGACGTGGATTTTCTTTAAGGGATGCTCGCAGGGATATTCGCTGATGTACCCTATGGTCGTTTGGGGTGTTTCTCTTCTCTTGGGCTTTGGAAACTGCGCTTTTCGGAAGCCGGTTTGTGTTGCAGGCTGCCGCTGGCGGTGCAGGGCAGGTTGGCTGGCACGGCAAGCCCTCGCTATGTGCCCCTTCCGCTCGCATCTTTGGCAAATGGCATCTTGGAATCTGCAGCCCGCTTTGGGGTGATCGCCCCCGCATCTGGCACAAAAAGGCGGCCTTTCTCCCGTCTCCGGATTTCCTGTCTTTCTTTCGAAACGTAGGCGCTGGATTTCATCGCCCTCATCTGTTGAGTCTTCGTTTGCTCTGGCTTCTTCGAGCACCATTTTCAATGTGAGATTAGGCTTTGGCAGCAATCTTCTCTGCAGTCTGCGGTCCCTCAATCCCAAAACAAGCCTCTCTAGCATCGCTTCCTCTGGATTTCTGTACTCGCAATGAGCTGCGGCTTTTCGTAGTGCGGCGACGTATTGATCGACGGTCTCCCCTTCCTCTTGACTCCTGCGCCAAAATTCAAATCTGCTCACCATCCTTGACGGTAGGGGTGCATAATGGGCTCGTAGCGTTTCCTGGAGCGTTGCCCACGGTACCTTCTGCACCTCGGCTGGTTCCGAGAGCGCTTGAGCCATCTCGAAGACTTCGGGTCCGCAGTGGCATAGGAAAAACGCCCTCTTCCTATTGTCCGGCAGAGCCGATAGATCATTTGCTTCCAGGAAGCCATTGAATCGCAGCATATATGATTTCCAACTCTCCCTAGCTGGGCTGAATGGAGCTGGTGGGGCGAGCATGGTCATTTTAGGGGAAAAAAGCCCAAGCAAATTCTCAACTTGCTGCGATGATGGCGGATGCCGTGTGGATGCCCGCCTCAGCTCAGCTCCTCTGTCCTTTTTCCTCTTTGCATCCCGCCTTCCTTGCCAGCGTTAAATGGGAGGCCCGACTGAAGAGGCGGGACTCCGTCTGGGGACTCCAGCTCTTCACTGAGTCGATTGGTTCAGCGGGCTCTTTGCCTGGCATTCTAACCAGTGAGGTTGCTCCATTTTCCCGCCTTTCGTGTGAACCAATGATTCACTCAGGTCCGCCTTCCAAGCGGGAAAACAATCTAAACTAAGGTTGTTTTCCCGCTTGGAAGGCGGACCTGAGTGAAGCCTTGCCTTCGCTCCCTATTAACTTATTTGCAAGGTCCGCCTTTTCTGCGGAGGGAACCCCAAAGGAAGGCGCAGCAACCAGGCAGGCGCTCCGGGGCTCCCGGTTCTTGCCCTGCGGCCTCGGTGTGGAGGCGGAGGCTGCAGAGGGAGAAAACCGCTCCCCCCCCACCCCCAGCTCGGGCAAGGAGGGAAGCAGCGCCGGGCTGGGCGTCGGAGTTGCGGGGAGGCTCCAAGCAAAGACGGAGAGGAGACCGGAGAGAGCGAGCGGGGAAGGTCCGGAGAGCCTGCGGGGAAGGTCCCGGACCTTCAGGCTTTGGCCGTGTCCGGCGGGAGTGACGGGGAAGGGATCTCCTTCCTTCAGCCACCCCCCCCCACCCTTGAAAGGAATCCTACGTCAGGACAAATGGATCCCTTTTTTTCTACAGGAGAGAGTTTGGCAGGTCGAATTGGAGCTGTTTTGAAAAAAAAAAAGGGGGGGAGCCCCAAACTTTGATTGCTGAAAAATACTTCTCAGTATAAAATTGGGGGGTATCTATGTGGTGTCTGTTCTTTTTTTATATCTACATTTCTTTTTGTTCTTCGACTTGGAGCTGTTTTGAAAAAAAAGGGGGGGGAGGCCCAAAGCCTTGGTAGTACAGTGGTCTAAGGCACCCTGTTATTAACATCAGCTGCCTGCAATTACTGCAGGTTTGAATCTTGCCAGGCTCAAGGTTGACTCAGCCTTCCATCCTTTCTAAGGTAGGTAAATTGAGGACCCAGTTTGTGGGGGCAATAAGCTGACTTTGTATAAATATAAATATACAAAAGTATGAAGGCTATTGCTTAACGCATTGTAAGCCGCCCTGAGTCTCCGGAGAAGGGCGGCATATAAATCAAATTTTAAAAAAAACAAAACTCTTGATTGCTGAAAAATACTTCTCAGTATTAAATTGGGGGTGTCTATGTGGTTTCTGTTCTTTTTTTATATCTACATTTCTTTTTGTTCTTGTTTCCTTTCGTTTTGGATTTTGCATTTTAACTTTCGAAATAAAATATAATTATTGGAGAATTATAATTATCAATAATTCTTTCATTAGCACCAAAGGGACTCAATTTTTTTTTGCTGCTTTTCGCGGTGGGGGGAGGGGAGGGAGAGAGGCTGTCCAGGTGCCAAGAATTTTTTTTCCTTCCCAGAAGGTGGAGAGGGATCCGATTCTACCTGAGCGCTCCTCTTCCTCCAGGATCTCTCAGTCTTCAAGCAGGTTTCGATTCCAGGCCCAGGCGATGCATGTCAGGTGCTGCATGGCCTGGGCACACCGACCCTGGAGTTCTCTCTCATTTCTCAGCTCAGCCTACCTCGCAGGGTTCTTGTGTGGACAAACGGAATTTTTTTTTTTAATTTGATTTATATGCCGCCCTTCTCCGGAGACTCAGGGCGGCTTACAGTGCGTTAAGCAATAGCCTTCATCCTTTTGTATATTTTTATACAAAGTCAGCTTCTTGCCTCCCACAAACTGGGTCCTCATTTTACCTACCTTAGAAAGGATGGAAGGCTGAGTCAACCTTGAGCCTGGTGAGATTCGATCTTACTTTAATTGCAGGCAGCTGGTGTTAAATTACAGTGCTTAGTCTGTTGAGCTATCCAGGCTCCTGAAATGCTTTATATAAGGAGATCCTGAAGGAAGGGGGTGCCATTGTGGGGGCTGTGCCCCATTCAAAACACGGAGCTGCGCTGTAAAGGGCTTTGGAAGGACCCCCCCCTCCCTGGCACCCAACCACACTTGGAGGGCTTCTTTCCAAGGGCCAGCGAGCATCTGCCTTAAGATCACCTCTTTTTCACAGTTGCTGAAACACACCTGCCATTTCTCCTAAGGGCTTCCAAGAAAGTAGGGGGATAAACCTCGGTTTCTCTATCTCTCTCTCCCCCCCACACTTTCCCCCCATCTTCCCACAGCATGAAATGATTTGCATAGACAGAAATACTCTTCGCTCCAACTCTCATCGCCTCCCAACAGTATTAGCCACTGTTCTCTGTGTTCGCTGGAAAAAGTGGGAGAAGACCAGATCAGGAGAAGAAAAGATCGCAATAGAGTGAAAAAGTAATTCTGTTGCCAAGAAACGGGGACTTCTGTTACCCCTGAAGACCCAATGAAAAAAACCCCCTATTTTCCGCCCCTAGAATGACAGGTGGGGCCTCCGGAGTTCTGAAAGAAATTGAGAAGGAAAACAGCAGCTAGAAGCTACAACCAGATCCTGCCGGAAGATCCCCTGTGGGACAGGGGTCTCTCGGAGGGGCTTCGCAAGAAGAAACAGCCAGCATGTGGTGGGAGTCATGGAGGCTGCGTTCACACAACCGGGAAGACCAGATCGTTTGGGTGCTCAACTTGGCTGGGGAGAATCGAGCCGATGTGGCACAGTGGTTAGAGTGCAGTACTGCAGCTACTTCAGCGGATCAAATCTCACCAGCTCAAGGTTGACTCAGCCTTCCATCCTTCCGAAAGGGATCTCTCCCGCCCCCTCCCTCCCTCCCCCTTGCTTCCCTCCTGCTTCGCCCCCTTTAAGAAAGTTTGGTACTTCATTTAAATCTGGCATTCGATTTAAATTTGCTTCGTCTATGTTTTAGGTCCGTTTACAAACATATCAACAGAGACGTGTACACAACACCGTGCAGATCTACTTCCTAGAAAGTAGTGTGAGAAGTTTGATATATCCAGATATATTTTATTCTTTATACCGTTTCCATCTTCCCTTAAAATATTAACGGAATCCACAATGGTCTGAGAATCAGCATCTCCACTAGATAATTGATAAGTCAAGCTGAAACTAAGTTAATCAAGTAAAATTAGCAAACTTCCTCAAACCCCCCAAATAAATGACCCAGACCTAATCCACATATCAAAGGATAAGGTCTGCAAACACAGAGTTAAGTAAGTTAGGTCTCCCGGAGGAACTCTATGTTCACAAGAATAAACATAGCTACACACCCACCCACCCACCTCAAGTGTCACTTTAGAATCAGCACGTAGCCATTTCCACATCCCAGACAAGCAGCCCCCATAAAAACTGTGTGGCTGTGTCCCATTTCTCTGCAGTTGCTCCTAAAATAAACTCTTTTGCTTTTAGGGATAAATATTTCTTCTTTCCTTACAGCTGCCTGGATTTCATTTTTATTTATTCTCGCGCAGCCCCAGTTCGAGTTGGAACCCCAAATTATTCCTGACAGCAGATTGGACCAGGGGAGGGGAAAGTGAGACTGGAGAGCAAGTCTTTGTGAGAAACGAAACTGAAAGTACTGTTGTTGTTTTCATTGTCATGCATCAGGACAAGTTATGGGGGGGGTCACTCAGGAAGTTTTTAACAACCAAAACCATCCCTTCCTCTGCAGAAAGGATGGACTGGGGAGGGCAGGGATGTTCTCCAAATGAATGGAGGCTCCTGCAAGTGGGGAGATGCGTCCTCTGTTCAGCGCCTCCTTAACTTTCTCCCCTTTTAGCCAGAGGATGGCTAGTTCCAAGTGTCCTGATGGTGCTTCTGATGATGATCCTTCTGAGATACAAGTCTACAATAGGCCAGAACGCACAGCTGTAGTCGGTTAGTTAGAGAGTGCTGACTCGTGCATGAGGCAATCTACGGTATGCTCTGATTGGTTACAGTAAGCAGGAAGGTGGAGTTTCCTTCCACTCCCCACCCCGCCCTTTTCTTCCCTGGGTTTACAGTAACCAATCAGAGCATGCCGTAGATTGCCTCATGCACGAGTCAGCACTCTCTAACTAACCAGTGTTCATTTACCTCAGTGTTTCTCAACCTTGGTAGCTTGAAGATGTATGGACTTCAACTCCCAGAATTCCCCAGCCAGCAGCGCTGGCTGGGGGATTCTGGGAGTTGAAGTCCACCCATCTTCAAGCTTCCAAGGTTGAGAAACACTGCTCTAGAGCAGTGTTTCCCAAACTTGACCCTTTGAAGATGTATGGACTTCAACTCCCAGAATTCCCCAACCAGGCATACTGGCTGGGGAATTCTGGGAGTTGAAGTCCATGCATCTTAAAATAGCCAAGTTTGGGAAACACTGCTCTAGAGGATGGCGATCTGCCAAGTTTAGCCACACAGACAATCCGGTGCGAGAACGCCGCCACAGCGATGTTGCTCAATTCTTCTGGCCCATTGCCCAGGCAAGAGAAGGAAGCAAGGAACTAAAACCACAGGGCTAAAGTCTGAAATGCCTCTTTTCCCATTTACTGTCTGTTCTCACAGAAATACAAGAGCCTTGATAGTACAGTGGTCTACACACCCTGTGATTAACACAGCTGCCTGCAATTTACTGCTGGTTCGAATCTCCAAGATTGGCTCAAGGTTGACTCAGCCTTCCATCCTTTCTAAGGTAGGTCCCAGATGAGGACCCAGATTGTGGGGGCAATAAACTGACTTTGTATAAATATACAAAAGGATGAAGGCTATTGCTTAACGCATTGTAAGCCGCCCTGAGTCTCCGGAGAAGGGCGGCATATAAATCAAATTAAAAAAAAAAAATGGGAGCTGATTACAAACCAGGTACCAAAGTTTTAAAACCAGGCTCGCTGAAGCGCGAGAGAAGGAAGATTTTTTTCCTTCTGGGAAAGGAGTTTGCAACTGAGAAGGGCTGGGGGAGAGAAAGACCAAATTCAGAACATGTGCCCCTCCCTTTTTTTTTCCTCCTCCCCCCCCCCCGTCGCAAATCCTTCCAGAAACTCACCGCAAAAGTCCCCCTGCAGGAAGGACCCCAGCCCCCGCTCCCAAGACCAAGAGGGGCTCCCGGCGTAGCGGCATCGCCCTCCAACCAGGCGCCCCCGGTCGCTTAGGCTCTGCCCCGGTTCGGCTCCGCAAATAAATCCAACTCTGCTAAAAAAAAATTCTCCGCCCTGTTTGGGTCCGCGAAGAAGAGAGAAAACAGCGCTGCTCCCAGGGCCGGATTTTCCTATAGGCTAACTAGGCTTCAGCCTAGGGCCTCAAGATCAAGAGGGGCCTACATTCAAATTGTTAGCAAAATTAAAATTACACTTTCACTATAGGTGAAAGGGCCTCATAAGTGGAATAGCCTAGGGCCTCTTTTCATCTAAATACGGCCCTGGCTGCTCCCTTGGGGTCTTCTGGGAGCCCTGGAGGGAGACGCTGCTTACAACCGGGCAACGGTAGCACTCAAACGTCCTGGTTCCCCCGGTTGTGTGAATGCAGCCACCGCGATGTCTTCCTCGCTAATTCTTCTTGCGGGGCTCTCCGATCGATCCCCCCCTTCGCCCCACAGAGCTTTGGGGGGCATCTTTAGGCAGAAGGTGGCAGTCGATGACCTGAAGGGGGTTGGCAGGGTGTTTGGGCAGAGTCCGGCTCGGATCCCGCTCCTTTCCTTTCCAATGGCCCCAGGAGACCCGCAAAGGAGCCGCGCTCTTTTCCTTTCCTGCTTCGCATCCCCAACAGCCCCCGACACGAAGGACCAGGAGCAATTGGGACGCCGGGCGCGGAACGAGCATTTGCACCTGTTGCCGTAATTCGAGGATCGGACTCAATAATGAATTCAGAGTTTTTATATTCAAACAGAAGATCGTTTATTTACAGAAGGCATCCTATATTCACAGGATGATTGCAGATAGAAGCGAGGAGAATGAATGTACATCATCTTTTATACCAGGGAGGCGGGGTTAGAAGAGGGGAGTGGTTAGTGAGGAATACATTAGGAAGGGGAGAATAAGTTAATTCTTGATACTCCATGGATATATATTTCTTTCATTCAAGAATGAGGCATTTACCCATGACAGCACCTGCCACCGCAGATGCCTTCGCCTCGCCAATGACAGCACCGCTCTCTCCACCCTCTCGGCCCCTATCTTGCTCCCTCCGAGCTCCGCGGAAGTTCTCCGCCCGTCCAAAGTTCTCGGGTCAGTGAGGGAAAGAGAGAAAACGGTAAACAAACAAAAAAAAGTTTGTTTTGCACGTAATAAAAGGTGCAACCAATGGAGAGAAGCCTCAGGTGATGGGGTGAAATCCAGCAGGTTCTGACAGGTTCTGGAGAACCGGTAGCAGAAAGTTTGAGCAGTTGGGAGAACCGGTAGCGGAAATTTTGAGTAGTTTGGAGAATCAGCAAATACCATCTCTAGCTGGCCCCCGAGCAGGGTGGGAATGGAGATTTTGCAATATCCTTCCCTCAGAAGTGGGGAGTGAATGGGGATTTTGCAGTATCCTTCCCCTGGAGTGGGGTGGGAATGGAGATTTTGCAGTATCCTTCCCCTGCCACGCCCACCAAGCCACACCACGCCCACCAAGCCACGCCCACAGAACCGGTAGTAAAAAAATTTGGATTTCACCACTGCTCAGGTGTTTATCTTTCTGAGAATAGCAACAGTGTGCTAAGCAGATCTTCGTGTGGGCGCGCAGGTGTGCGCTGTGCCAGAGGGTTTGGGAAAGAAGTTTCTGGGCCTCTGCTCCCTCCCTTCCAACAAGGGGTTTTCTCTTTTTTTAGGCGTCCACACCTTGATGTGAAATACCAGAGGGATACTAGATAGGGGACTGCAGCTAGTAACTGTGAGAAGGATTTTGGAGTCCTAGTGGACAACCATTTAAATAGGAGCCAGCTGTGTGAAGCAGCTGCCAAAAAAGCCAACACAATTCTAGGCTGCATAAACAGAGGGATAAAATCAAGATCACGTGAAGTGTTAATACCACTTTATAATGCCTTGGTAAGGCCACACTTGGAATATTGCATTCAGTTTTGATCGCCACGATATAAAAAGGATGTTGAGACTCTAGAAAGAGTGCAGAGAAGAGCAACAAAGATGATTAGTGGACTGGAGGATAAAACATATGAAGAATGGTTGCTGGAATTGGGTATGTCTACTTTAATGAAAAGAAGGACTAGGGGAGACATGAGAGCAGTCTTCCAATATCTCAGGGGCTGCCACAAAGAAGAGAGAATCAAACTATTCTTCAAAGCACCTGACGGCAGGACAAGAAGCAATGGGTGGAAACTAATCAAGGAGAGAAGCAACTTAGAACTAAGGAGAAATTTCCTGACAGTTAGAACAATTAATCAGTGGAACAACTTGCCTCCAGAAGTTGTGAATACTCCAACACTGGAAGTTTTTAAGGAGACGTTGGATAACCGTTTGTCTGAAGTGGTGTAGGGTTTCCTGCCTAAGCAGGGGGTTGGACTAGATGACCTCCAAGGTCCCTTGCAACTCTGTTATTCTATTGTTTTCTATTCCTCGGATGGCTTGGTAAATGAATTCCATAGAGACTTAAAGAAGACAGCTCTTCACTCTTCAGGGTTAATGCCCGTAGCTCCCTAAGGCCTCTTGCTGGTCTAGCACAATTGATCACGGTGGGTGACAACATCCTGCTGACTTGACTGGGCCCTTTCTGGCAGCCGACCCATCCCCGGCGTTCAATGTCCATCAGCGCTCCGCCTCTGCCACCGGCCGGGAATTCTTACTTCTACCATTAGCACATGTGCAGGGCTCAGGTGGGCAGGGCTGGGGCTAGCAAGAGTGTGCAGGAAACATCTCCAGGCACCCGGAGAGACAGAACTCCTGCATTAATCGTCTGCACTACTATTAATCTTCTCATCGTTCCCACCACCCATCTCCTCCCACTTATGACTTTATGACTGTAATTTTGTTTCTTGTATCCTTACAATTTATATTGATTGTTTCCTGATTGCTTATTTGTACCCTATGACTATCATTAAGTGTTGTACCTTATGATTCTTGATGAACGTATCTTTTCTTTTATGTACACTGAGAGCCTATGCACCTAAGACAAATTCCTTGTGTGTCCAATCACACTTGGCCCAATACAAAAATTCTATTCTATTCTATTCTATTCTATTCTATTCTATTCTATTCTATTCTATTGGTTGTTTGCATGCTGAACTTTTGCTGCTGAGAACTTTAAGGGGGGGGTGTCGCTGTGTGTTGTGGGCAAAGTCAGGATAGGACCTCCCAGAGTTCTGGAGGACGTGCAAATAGCAGCGCAGTTTTGTGGCGGATCCGCGGATTTAGCGCGGGGCGGAAAACTTCAATGGAACTGGGGAGGGTGGGGGGGGGACGGGACGCGATGCTGTTATATGTAACTTTGTTGCTGGTACCCTTACGATTTATATTGATATTGTTTCCTGATTGCTTATTTGTACCCTATGACTCTCATTAAGTGTTGTATCTGATGATTCTTTTTTTTTTATTGCAAAAGTTTTACAATTACATTTTCACCCCATTTCCCCCCCCAAACCCATCCCAAACTCCCCAACCTCACCCTCCCTAACCCCCCCCAACCCTCCCCTCCCCCCCGGACTTCCATAGAATATACTCCCATCAAAAAAAAAACAACCCTTTATATGAAACTTGAACCCCTCCATCCCCCATATAAATTTTTCATCTTCACAAAATTAAAATATTTCTATCTTAATCTAACATTTTCAAATAAAAGCTATTTGATACTTCCTGGTTCGATATTTGTTCTGCACATCATCTATCCACTTTTTCCATTCCCATTCATAAGTCTCTTGTGAACGATCTTTTAGGTATGCCGAAATCTTCGCCATCTCTGCGAAACTGGCCATCTTCAAAGTCCATTCCTCGATCGTGGGCAAAGCTTCATTCTTCCAGTATTTACCTATCAATAATCTCGCTGCCGTTATCATATACAATATCAGCTTTGTTTCAGCCAGTGTAAAACCCTTAACTATACCCAATAAAAACAATTGTGGAGAAAATTGAATTTTTTTTCTTCAAAACATTCTGCATGACCCACCAAATCATTATCATTAAGTGTTGTATCTGATGATTCTTTTTTTTTTTATTGCAAAAGTTTTACAATTACATTTTCACCCCATTTCCCCCCCCCAACCCATCCCAAACTCCCCAACCTCACCCTCCCTAACCCCCCCCAACCCTCCCCTACCCCCCGGACTTCCATAGAATATACCCCCATAAAAAAAAAACCCTTTATATGAAACTTGAACCCCTCCATCCCCCATATAAATTTTTCATCTTCACAAAATTAAAATATTTCTATCTTAATCTAACATTTTCAATTAAAAGCTATTTGATACTTCCTGGTTCGATATTTGTTCTGCACATCATCTATCCACTTTTTCCATTCCCATTCATAAGTCTCTTGTGAACGATCTTTTAGGTATGCCGAAATCTTCGCCATCTCTGCAAAACTGGCCATCTTCAAAGTCCATTCCTCGATCGTGGGCAAAGCTTCATTCTTCCAGTATTTACCTATCAATAATCTCGCTGCCGTTATCATATACAATATCAACTTTGTTTCAGCCAACGTAAAACCCTTAACTATACCCAGTAAAAACAATTGTGGAGAAAATTGAATTTTTTTTCTTCAAAACATTCTGCATGACCCACCAAATCATTATCGTTAAGTGTTGTGTCTGATGATTCTTGATGAAGGTATCTTTTCTTTTATGTACACTGAGAGCCTATGCACCTAAAACAAATTCCTTGTGTGTCCAATCACACTTGGCCAATACAAAAATTCCATTCTATTCTATTGGTAGACTTCGGAGGCGCCTAATGAGCTGATGTCTTCGGCGGCAGGGCAGAGGACTTTTCCCTGCAGGCCCCGCCCTCGGAGATTGTCCCGGGAGTTCGGGTTTCGGGGAAGGCTGGCCGGAGGCGTAGCCTAAAATGCCCAGTATTTAAAGCACCTGCGGGAGGTGCTTTTAGCGGAGCCGAAGCCTTTTGATAGCGGAGCGCAGGTTGAATGTGATGCTGGCGATGCTTCCAATTCTGGGTCTTCGGTCGTAGGTGCGAGCGGTCGTAGGGCGATGCCGCTGCAACGGGCGCTCCTCTTGTACCTGTGGGCTGTGCTGGCATCCTTTGTGCCGGGGGGCCGCTGCGGTGAGTTTCTGGAAGGGTTTGCGAAGTGGCTGGAGAGAGCTGAAAGCGAGGAGGGGGACGCGGATCCTCCCTGGGTCTCTTCCCCCCCGCCCTCCTCCACATTCCAGCAGGAAACGTCTCCCCCCCCCCTTGGCTCCGCTTTGCTTAAGATCTTTTTTGTATTCAGTTTGTAGTTTGGAGGCAAGGGCTGAAAATGAATGGGATCGTTCAACTTTCACCCAGCGTCTCCTTGGGTTAAATCTGCTTTTGCAAAATTTTCTTGCATCAGCTTATGAAGCAGAGATCTCTACGCACAATATAGAATGAAGTTTGTAATAATAATCGTTTGCTATTGTGGGACGATCGCTTCGGGTGTTTGATTTGTAATCGGTTCGGAGTGTGCAGTTCTGAGGAAGGCGTGAAAGCCAAAAGGGAAAGTTTTACTTTAGACTTGCAAAAGTCTAAAGGGGTGGGCAACTGTGGCCCTTTTACAACCTGTGGACTTCAACTCCCAGAATTCCTGAGCCAGCCAAGCTGGCTCAGGAATTCTGGGAGTTGAAGTCCAAAGGTTGTAAAAGGGCCACCCCCTTAGAGCATCCCACTCCGCAACCTTGGGGAGGGGGTGGGGACAAGCCCGCCTTTCGAACCAGTTGAGCTGCACGCGCATGCGCGCTGCACCCCAAGCAAGGAGAGAAGCAACCTAGAAGTGAGAAATTTCTTTACAGTGAGAACCATGAATCAGGGTTGGAACGACTTGCCACCACAAGTTATGACTGTTCCATCACTGGAGGCTTTTAAGAAGAGACTGGACAGTCTCTTCTTCTCTATAACATCTGGAATGTTATAGGGACTTGTGGACTTCAACTCCCAGAATTCCTGAGCCAGCCATGTTAGCTCAGGAATTCTGGGAGTTGAAGTCCAAAGGTTGTAAAAGGGCCACCCCTTAGAGCAGTGTTTCCCAAACTTGGCTATTTTAAGATGCATGGACTTCAACTCCCAGAATTCCCTAGCCAGTATGCCTGGTTGAGGAATTCTGGGAGTTGAAGTCCATACATCTTCAAAGGGTTGTCAAGTTTGGGAAACACTGCCTTAGAGCATCCCACTCCGCAACCTTGGGGAGGGGGTGGGGACAAGCCCGCCTTTTGAACCAGTTGAACTGCACCCCAAGCAAGGAGAGAAGCAACCTAGAAGTGAGAAATTTCTTTACAGTGAGAACCATGAATCGGCGTTGGAACGACTTGCCACCACAAGTTATGCCTCTTCCATCGCTGGAGGCATTCCATTATCTGGAATGTTATAGGGACTTCAACATATCTATCAACATAATAGTTTTAAATTGGGGTATTTTTAAATTTCTGGGGTTTTAATTGAGCCAAATTTATTTAATCATTTTAAATCTTAATTGCTGTTTTGTCTTGTGTTTTTAAATAGGCTGTACACCGCCCTGAGTCCTTCGGGAGAAGGGCGGTATAGAAATAAAATAATAATAATAATAATAATAATAATAATAATAATAATAATAATAATAATAATAATAATAATAATTATTATTATTATTATTATTATTATTATTATTATTATTATTATTATTATTATTATTATTATTATTATTATTATTATTATTATTATTATTATTATTATGGACTTCTCCCAGAATTCCTGAGCCACCCATGTTAGCTCAGGAATTCTGGGAATTGAAGTCCACCAGTCATAAAAGGGACATAGTTGCCCACCTCTGTTAAAAGGCATCCAGCTTGAGGAGGGGGTTGGACTAGAAGACCTCCAAGGTCCCTTTCCCACTCTCGTTATTCTGCATTTACAAGACAGGCGTAAACCTGGCTGGTGAGAACTTTAAGGGGGTCGCTTTAAGGGGAGCGGAGCTCGGAGTGGGCAGGGCGGGTCGCTGAATTGGCATAAATGTAAGAGTTGCGCCACGAGCTGCGGTCTTCGGTGGCTGGTCCCAGGGACCCGAGCGTGCTCGGAAGGTGGAGTTGTGGGGGTGGGGAGGTTGGAGCGGAAGCGTAGCCTGTGTGATTAATAGCGGAGTACAGATTGATTTCATCAGCAACCCTCGGCGCTTACAGTTTCTGGGTGCCAACTGGTGTCTTTGGTCCCTGCACCGGGCGCCCCTCTCGCTCCTGTGGGCTGTCTGTGCTGGGATCCTTGGGGCGGAAGGACCTGCGGTGAGTTTCTGGAAGGGTTTGCGGTGTGGTGGGAGGCAGGTGAAAGCGAGGGAGTGGGAAGCGTGTCCCGCCTAGGTCCCCCCCACATTTACCCTCCGTGGCAAGTTCCTTTCCCAGTAGGAAACGTCTCCCGTCCCTCGCTCAGCCTCGTTTAAGAACTTTTTCTATTTTAATTGCAGGGTGGATTTGATTTAAATCGAGTCGATTTAAATCACAATTTAAATCATGATTTAAATCACTAGTAAAAAGACTTGATGTAAATCAACTCGATTTAAATCATAATTTTTAAAGAGCAACTGTCATCTCTGCTGCTCCTTTGACCCGCTGTTGACTCACCGATAGTCCCAGTGTTGCAGAATATACAGCCTCCTGCTACATAACTAAGCTCCATTTCATGCTGAATAAACTAAATTATTGATGTATCTTAAATAGAAAACGATCTTACGATAGATTTTTTACCCCAAAAGTTTTTTTATTAAAATAAATTCAATAATTAAAAAAAAATCTGATTTAAATAAAAACAATCCGATTTTTTTGATTTTTTTTTTAAAAAATCATTGATTTTTATCCACCCTGTTTAATTGTAATCCGTTCCTATTTGTATTTGAGCAAGGAAGTGAAAATGAACGGCGATCATATAATATCCAAAATCAGCCCAGCCTCTTCCCGCTTCCTCTAGTAGTTTTTTATTTTCTATTATCAACTTATGAATGAGGGACATACGCACAATATAAGGAAGGTTTTAATAATTGGTTGCTTCTGATTTGGGTGGGGTTTTGCTGATTAGAAGAACAGAACAACAAATTTGGAAGGGACCTTGATGGACTTCTGGTCCAACCCCCTGCTCAGGCAGGAAACCCCCCCCCTTACCATTCTCTGTGGGAGCCCCGACCCTCTGGAATGGATTGCCCACTGAGCTCAGGACAGCCCCCGACCTTCTTTCCTTCCGTCGCGAGCTGAAGACGTGGCTCTTCCGCCAATTAAACTGATCCGTTTGGGGGTACACTGGTATAATTTTAAATCGTTTTTAATTGGGTTACTGATTTTAATTTGGTATTGTATTGTGATTTGTATTGAAGTTGTCATTTTGTAAGCCGCCTTGAGTCCCTAGGGAGAAAGGCGGCATATAAATCGCAATAAATAAATAAATAAATAAATAAATACCATTTCAGACAAATGGTTATCCAATCTCTTCTTAAAAACTTCCAGTGTTGGAGCATCCACAACTTCTGGAGGCAAGTCGTTCCGCTGATTAATTGTTCTCACTGTCAGGAAATTTCTCCTTAGTTCCAAGTTGCCTCTTTCCTTGCTTAGTTTCCATGCATTGCTTCTTGTCCTTTCTTCAGGTGCTTTGGAGAATAGGTTGATTCCCTCCTCTTCACAGAAACCCCTTAGATATTGGAGCACTGCTGTCATGTCACCCCTAGTCCTTCTTTTCATATATAAAAGTAAAAAGTTGAAGTTTGATATTATTTCCTTATTCTACTACTGCATCAAAAGGAGTCGGAAAGCAATGTTTTTCTTCTTCTTTCCCCTTTTCCCTTACACTTTTCTCCGTCCCCCTTTTCCTCCCTTATTTACCCATTACTTTCATTTCTCTTTGTACTTCTTCATTTTAAATTTTGATAAATTAATAAATACTAAGAAAAAAAATAATTCGTGGCTCCTGTGGGACAATAACTTTTGGTGTTTGATTTGTCATCAATTCTGAATGAATTTCTCAGCAAGAAGTACAAGTCAAAAGAATAGAATAGAATAGAATAGAATAGAATAGAATAGAATAGAATAGAATAGAATAATAGAATAGAATAGAATAGAATAGAATAGAATAGAATAGAATAGAATAGAATAGAATAGAATAGAATAGAATAGAATTTTTATTGGCCAAGTGTGATTGGACACACAAGGAATTTGTCTTGGTGCATATACTCTCAGTGTACATAAAAAGACAAGATACGTTCATCAAGAATCATAAGGTGCAACACTTATTGATAGTCATAGGTTACAAATAAGCAATCAGGAAACAATATCAATATAAATTGTAAGGATACCAGCAACAAGGTTACAGTCACAAGTGGGAGGAGATGGGTGATGGGAATGATGAGAAGATTAATAGTAGTGCAGACTTAGTAACTAGTTTGACAGTGTTGAGGGAATTATTTGTTTAGCAGAGTAATGGCGTTCGGGGAAAAATGTTCTTGTATCTAGTTGTTCCGGTGTGCAGTGCTCTATAGCGTCGTTTTGAAGGTAGGAGTTGAAACAGTTTATGTCCAGGATGTGAGGAGTCTGTAAATATTTTCACAGCCCTCTTTTTGATTCGTGCAGTATCCAGGTCCTCAATGGAAGGCAGGTTGGTAGCCATTGTTTTTTCTGCACTTCTAATTATCCTCTGAAGTCTGTGTCTGTCTTGTTGGGTTGCAGAGCCAAACCAGACAGTTATGGAGGTGCAGATGTCAGACTCAATAATTCCTTTGTAGAACTGGATCAGCAGCTCCTTGGGCAGTTTGAGCTTTCTGAGTTGGCGCAGAATGCTTCTTCTTCTTCTTCTTCTTCTTCTTCTTCTTCTTCTTCTTCTTCTTTCTCTTCTTTCTCTTCTTCTTCTCTTCTTCTTCTTCTTCTTATTATTATTATTATTATTATTATTATTATTATTATTATTATTATTATTATTATTGAATGCTTATTAGAGGATCTTTTGCCCAATTCCAGTGTGTTGTGCCTGGATCTCAAATGAGCAAGAGGAGAAAGTCTGAAAGTCTTTCTTTCAGTCTTAGAGAATGTTTAGAGCTCAGGTGGACTCTTCCTCCTCCCCGCCTCCCCCAGCGGGCAAAGGCCGAGGCGTCAATCAGCTCTCTCCTGACCAAACAACTGTGTGAACCTGGAGGGACCCCTCACCAGATGTGCCCAGCTGTTTCCAAGGTCAGCCAAGAGCTGCTTAGGGACTTCTGTTATCAACTTATGAATGAGGGGCATATGTACAATACAACAAAGTTTTTAATCACTAGTTGCTGCTGTGGGACAATAACTTTTGGTGTTTCGTTTGTAATCAATTCTATGTGAATTTCTCCCCCCACCCTTTATTTCCAAAGTTAAAATGCAACCCCAAAATAAATGCAAAAAGGACAAAAAAGACAAAAACAAAAACAAAAAAAAACCATGCAGAAAACAAAATATTAAACATACACATAAAATGGGACTCCTCCCTATCATGGCATATTGAGTGGGATAATAGAATAGCATAGTTGGAAGGGACTTCGGAGGTCTTCTAGTTAAACCCCCTGATCAGGCAGGAAACCCTATGCCAGTGGTTCTCAACCTTCCTAATGCCTTGACCCTTTAATACAGTTCCTCATGTTGTGGTGACCCCCAGCCAGGGGTGGGTTCTAAATTATTTTCTACCGGTTCTGTGGATGTGGCTTATTTTGTGGGTGTGGCTTGGAGGTCATGTGACTGGGTGGGTGTGGCTAGCTGGTCATGTGACTGAGTGGCCATGGCTATGTGTATAGGGACTACTCAGAGGGCTGAAAAAAGTCATTTCTGACAGGTCCTCGCACTTTTGACTGGTCCTCACACTTATGACCATCCTCACATTTATGCCCATGCAGCATTCTTAATAACCATGTCACTCATTTCACAACTGCTTCTTTTCACCATGGTGATAAGATAGGGCAAAAAACGTAAAATGTGAGGATAGTCGTAAATTCAAGATCTGGTCAAAAGTGCGAGGACCAGTCAAAAATAACTTTTTCAGCCCTCTGAGTAGTCCATGTGCATAAAAGGATACAGCAATAGAGAGGGATGAAGGAAGGGAAGGGAAATTAGAGTAGGAGTGAGGGTAAGAGAGGGAGGAAGAGAGGAGGAGAAGGAGAAAAGAAGAGGAAGTAGGGAGGAGAGGAAGAGGGGGAGGAAGAGAAAGTAAGAAGGAAAGAAAAGAGAGAGGTGGTAGGTTTGAGGAGAAAGATTGCTGTACAATAAAAAAGAGGAAAGGGAAGAAATCAAACCCCAAACAAATATAAAGATATTAAGATGAAGAATGAATTGTTAAATTTTAAAGAATAAAAGAGAACAAATATGAATAAATAACAATAATTAGAAACACACATACAAACATACAATGTATTTTCTTTTGTAGGAAGTTAGCACCCACTCCTTTCCTGGAAAAGTGAATTATTTTAGGAAATATGAAAAAGGCAGAATATTATATTTCCCTGGGATAAGCATGTTTTGAAGCAGCTCCCATCTTCCTGCCCCCCCCCTTTGTCAATGGGCCATTAAGGCCTGGGCCAGTCTATTCTACATAACAAAGATCTACCTCCTTCAGGCAGAGCCATAGTAGGAATTGCCAAAGATCCAACAAAGATAGGATTAGCCCTCTACACAATAGCAGCAGAAACTCACCACATGTGACCTGGGAAGCACATGTGACCATTAGCCAGCAAGGCTAGCTAAGACCTCCACCCCCTGGGAGTCTGACAACCAATCAGGATACTCTTATGGGGCCCCAAGAAATGCAAAGCCAGAGAGAGCATAAAAACCTGAGGATTTACTGTATCTGCCTTTTTCTGTTCAGGAACTCAAGCCATGTGATCCTGTCCACCGTTAAACCATCTTTCCAAGCAGCCTCCATGTTTCCAGTGTCTGTTTCCCCACTTGGAGCAGAACCTAGAAGGATGTTTCTTCCAACACTTTGAACAGAGTATTTGCCCGGTTCACAAATTTAAACAGTGTTTAGTCATTTCAATTAAATTTAAAATTTCTATATTTCCTTTTTGCCATATTTATTCCTCATCTATTTTTGTAAAAAATCAATATTACCCTTCATTTTCATCTCTAATCTTAATCAAATTCAATTTTTCCCTTCTATTCTATATTATACCCCTTCCCATTGTTATAGGAGAAATGACGGAACCTAGGCCAAGCTCTTCAATGCAGGAAAGAGTTTATTGTGCACGGTTCAAACAGTCCAAAGACAGCAAAGGGTCTGAACAATGATGGCTGTTTTTGGCCAGATATTTATACAGTATAAAGGCAAAGTTATTACGAAGAGTGAGACATTTCACACGTAGAAGTTACCCTTTAATCTATCTCTAGGAAAGACGTAACAGCCCTTTCCCCACAGGCTCAGGTTCTCAGCTCCGGAGCTCAAGACATAATAAAAGAGGAGATAAGGGGCTTAGAGACGCCTCAAGGGCAATAGAGGAAGTAGTATTTCTCATCTTAGGATATACATGACATTTGGGGTGTAATAAACATTAAACAACAGGATGTATCTGTTTAGGGTCAGTTTGCCCTTTTACAATTCTGTACCTACGTCAAATACCTTTTGCCATCTTAGCACCTTGGCACGGAAGAGGCACTTCTGTCTTGACCAAAGATTTGGATTTCTAATATTTGAGTTTTATCCAATATCGAATCTTAGCCTGGCTCACCATTGTCATCTATTTTTATATCCATCCTCACATTGGTTAATTATGTAATATTACAGTTGTTTAATATAAATTCAACATTTTAATATAAATCAATTAGTTATATAACTACCTTTTTTGTATATTAATCAATATGAACATGAATATTCCAATTATTTCCATGCAATCCAATTTCTTACAAATCAATTAATTATATTTACCAATAATAAGAAACCAAATAATTTCCCCCATATATTCCTCCAAACCACAACTTAACCATTTCTGCTTTCAACACAATATACAATTAATAGTATCTCAATTATTACAATTCCCTAGTTAAATAGAGCTTTTTTTTCTTTTGTGTTTTAAATCTTGAACTCTCCTCTTTTTCCCTAAATTTCCCATTGTTTGCACCTACCTTTTTTGGTGAGGAAAAAGAAAAGAATTCTGCCTGCCTAATTTTCCAACATTGCAGCAACAGCAAAGCCAACAGCCTCTTTACTTTCAGTTTCGTTTTTCAGCATAGCTAGGGGAAAAAAATTGCTCCAGCAAGCAGCAGAGCCCTGAGCAAAACAGCTGAGAGCAAATCAGCTGAGAGTCAGGAGCCGATCTAATCAAGGGCTAATTAGCATATGCTGAAGCTCCACGGGCCAATAAAATTACAAAAAAACACCGGACCGTTTGTTAAATTGCTGGCTCGCCCGCCCCTTGCCCACCACTATTTATTGGCAATAAATAGTGGTGTGGAGGGGCGGGGCAAGGGGCGGGCTTTGAAGCCCCGCGGCAAGAATTTAAAGTTTTTTTTCCTCTAGCCATCAGCTGGGACTCAGGAGGCAGCAATAGATTGGGAGTGGGCGGGGTAAGCGAATGGCCAGCGATCCAACAGAGCAAAGAGTGAGGGTGAGTTAAGACATGGGGGGGGGTGAGAGAGGGCTTTGGCGACCCCTGTGAAATGGCCGTTCAACCCCCAAAGGGGTCGCGACCCCCAGGTTGAGAACCGCTGTTTCAGAGGCTTCTTTCAGCCTGTGAAATCTCCATTTGTGAGGCTGGGCGGGACTACATTCAGAGTATAAGATTTTCATCCTCTTTTTTTGGGGAAAAAGGTGCGTCTTATACTCTGAAAAATACGGCAATTCTTTCTCAAGGGCAAAGAGAAACTGTTCCCTAACAGAAGAAGCTGAATTAAAAGTCCCCACAATAGAAAGAGAGAGAGAAAGAGAAAAAAGGGAAAGTTCCCATCTTTTGAAGTAAAAAAACAGAGATATGTACAAAAGTAAAACGAAACATCAGAGTGCTTTTAAAAACTAATAAAATACAAAATTCTTACAATAAGAATCCAGTATAAATCAAATCCAATTACTATCACTACAAAAGGAAAAAATCTCTCATGCTGTTGGCTTCCTTGCAGCAAAAGTGAAAGTCCAAAAATAAAGTCCTTTTATTTTTAAGTCCAAAATAAAAGAACGAATGTTCACAATTGTGATTCAACATGAATATAAGACTGCATCAGCCTGCAGCCAGACTATTTAACAATTGAAAAAGTTAATTAAAACAACAACAACATGTGATGTTAAAAATGCAAAAGATGGAAACTGACCACAATGACTACCCTTACTGAGAATTGCAATTCTCCAGATTCTCTTCCCAGACATATATACAGTCATCCAAAGGTCAGCGTGGATTATTCCTAGTTGCTCCTGTTCAAAACTTAGGGAAGGGGCTGCCAAAGAACTGGCTTTGGCAGAAAAGTCAGCTGATTGTCAACAGAAGAAAAAAAAGTCACCCCCACAATTCAACATGCCATTTTCTAGAAGTTTCCAATTCTGAGTGAATTTCTGAGCAAGGAGTGAAAGTCAAAACAGAATGCTCTGAATTCTGTTCTCCTCCTTCGAATCCTCCCCACTCCTACCAGGACAAAGGCTGAGCTTCCCTCCAGTCCAGCTCCCTCCTGATCAGAAAAGTCCCTCCCTCCCCCGAAGGACTGTGACCAAGAGTGGCCTCTTCTGGGTGTGGTGCAGCTTCTAGGAGCAGGAGGTCTCCACACTCAGGTGAAACTCCAAGCAGCTCCTGTCCTGCTGTCCTTCAGGCCATGGGCATGTAGGGTCCAATGGGGTCAGGCACAGAAGCAGTTGTGAGGGCCCTGAGGGTGCCCTCACCTGATGTGGCCACGTCCAGCCATTTCCAAAGTCAACCAAGAGTTGCTAGGGTCTCCTTTGGCCACTTTCGGTGTGACTGAAATCATCCAAAGTATAGCAGACAGTTGGTCTTCTGTTTGGGAGCTGCTTCTCATGATAGCATTGAGGGAGGAGCTGCAGATACAGACCCTCCTAATTCTGTCCTTCACCCTCTTCCCCTTCCAGGCTCCTCCAGGCACTCTTTGCGTTATTCCTACCTGAAGGTGTCAGAGCCCAGCCAGGGACTGCCCCAGTTCCTCTCCGTGATCTACCTGGATGGTCAGCCCATTGCTCGATATGACATCCTCAACAGGAAGATGGTTTCTCTGGTGCCCTGGATGGAGGCGGTGGAGTTGAAGACACCTGAGAGGATGTTCAGAAGTGACCTGGAGCAGTTATCAAATTTCAACCCCCAGACTGGAGGTGAGCAGAGGCAGAACTGCCTTCAAGCCCTGAATTCTCCTTCAAATCTCACTTTCCCACATCTTCTCACTTGGGTTATTGGGAAAAAAGACAAGCAGGCAAAGAATAGAAAGTGAGAGGCTGGGATCTTGGGGGGTTGAGATGAGCCCCATCCCAGGAAAGGACAATATTGTTTCTGCCTTTGACCACCAATGGCTGTAAAGAACATGAGGATGGGAGATGCTTTCCTGCAAAGGAAACCGCCTCCCCTTCCCAAGATCTTCTCTCTCATGGTCTTCATGATCTTCTAGCTCCATATCAAAAGGACTAAGTGTAGCCCCAGATCACAGAAAAGACCTCCTGCCATTGAAAGAAAGAGGGGAGGCAAGACCCATTTTCGCTCCCCTGATGGGATGGGGGGAAGTAAACACTTCAATCATTTGAGTGGGGGGTGGTCTCTAGGGAGACGAACTCTGGACAATTCCACCCCCTCTGTGTATTTCAGAGCTTCACATCTGGCAGGGGAGTGTGGGCTGTGAGCTCTGGGAAGATGGGAGCAAAGGAGGGTTCTTGCAGTACAGCTACAACGGGATGGACTTCATCAGCTTCAACAAGGAGACCCTCAGATGGGTGGCAGTTCAGCCCCAGGCCCAGAAGGTCAAGGAGAAGTGGAAGAACCTAAGGTTGTCTAAGAGAAACAAAGTCTTCCTGGAGAAGACCTGCATGGAGTGGCTGCAGAAATACCTGTCCTACCAGAAGGAGGCTCTGAAGAAGACTGGTGAGTGGCCAAACGTTGTGCATTTTTTTTGTAGGCTCTCTCCCCATCCCCTCATGTTTTCTTATCTTTTATTAGATTTTATTAGATTAGATTTATATACCGCTCTTCTCCTTTCGGACTCCTTTCTGCCCTAACTGGGAATTTATCAAAATGAACTAGGGACATTTATCAAAACACAATAGGAAAAATAATATCCAGGCCCTCAGCCCCCCAAAACTAAGTTCTTCAAAAAAAGGAAAGGAGAGGAAAGGGGAGGGGAGGGGAGGGGAGGGGAGGGCAGGGGAGGGGGGAATGGAAAAGGAAACCAAACCAAACCAGCAAGATATCAGGGCTGAGATCCAGTTCCATTTTCTTGAGGAAATCTAATTCCCACATCCTGCATTTGGGGCAGAACCTAAAGATGATTTTCTTCCCAATTTCCACCTGAAACAGCTTGAACAAATTCAGTTTAGGATGTCAAAATGGAATCAAAGCTCAAGCATTACAATCATTTTGGTCCGAGTGAGACTATTATCCCAAAGTCTACGTGTCCCTTTCAAAAATGAATCTAAAGAGTTCCATATCCCAGAGGAGAGAGAGAGGAGAAGGAGGAGAGGGAGAGGATGGCCAAAGGAGGTCTTCCCACTTAGTAAATCACCTTGACGGAAACTCTTGAAATCCTGAGAACTCAGGTGTTATTGCTGTTTCTGCAGAGCCTCCGGTGGGGAAATTGACTCGCAAGGTGGTGAATGACAGCCCGGAGGTCCTCATCTGCCAGGCCTTTGGCTTCTACCCCAAGGAGATCCAGGCCACCTGGAGGAGGGACGGAGAGGTCTGCCAGAATGAGACCCTCCATAGGAACGTGGCCCCCAACTCAGACGGGACCTATTATGTCCGGCTCAGCATTGAGATCGACCCCAAGGAGAGGCACCGTTTTAGGTGTCACCTGGAGCACGAGGGCTTGCCGGAGCCCCTGGTCTTGGCATGGGAAGAGAAAACAGGTGAGAAGCTCTGCATTTGCAATATGTCACCTCTTGGCGAGATGGGTGACATCCAAGGGAACATCCTGCATTTAGTGATGGTAGTGATTTTTGACAGGAGAGTTGGAACTCTGAAGTTGGAACTTAAGAGCAAGGCATGAAAATGTGATACGATACAATACAGTATGATATGATACTATATAGACAAAGGAGATGTGGGAGATGTGATATGAAACATTGTAGAATGATCTGATGGGACGGCTTATACCAGGTCATTCAATGCCCCTTTCGGCAGACGAGGCTGGATCTTTGTCAGCCCAACAAGATACAGTAGAAAGCAATGTCAGCTACTTCAGTACTACTCTTTTTACAAAACTATGATACTATAGCTATTGTAGTCTGGACATGCTTCAACCTTCCTCCATTTATCATTATGTAAAGAAAGAAGGGATCTGTGGGACACCTGTACTTAAGCTGATTTCTTGGCTCAGGCCTAAGCACCGTTTATCTGACAGTGCCTGGGTTGTAGATCTTCCTTCTGCCCTTCAAGGCCATTTGCTCTGCCCTCTTCAGCCTCAGAGGGAAGGGAGGCTTCCTTCAGGTGGGGACACTGCCTGGAGGCCAGTTCAGGTTGGGAAATGCTTCCATTGCTCAGCATCTCCATGTCAGGGAAGTCGGCATCTGTCTAATCAGAACCATGTTTCTCTTTCTTTAGCTATAATGACACTTGGTTTAGTGGGAGCTGTGATTATCGTAATCTCAGCTGTTCTGATTCTCTTCCTGATCGGTAAGTGAAACGCATCTATTGACCCCAAGCCCTGTGTCTTTTTGTGTTGATTGTTCTGGTGTGATGGGAGAGAGCCTCCCTGGCATTTGCAGCCAGGATCTCCACAAAACCTTTCCCCACAATTCTCATTTTGAAGGAGAATTAAAAAGGAAGAAGAAACTATGCAGCCATTTTTTCCCATTTCCTGTAAATCTCAGAATGTTCATCCTTGCTGTTGTTTGGGAGGGAGCCTCTTTGAGCTCTATAGACTTTCTTCAGAGGAGCAAATACAGAATATCAGGGGGTCAGGAATCCAAGAAAAGTCCGATAAATAATCTCTAAAATGCCAGAAAAGCCATAAACTTGCCCAGTGTCTTCTCACCTGGCAAGAAGGATTTTCAGGAAAGCTCTGGTGGAAGGTGGGGGTCATGGAGTGAGGGGACCCATGTTTTCTGCCCTTGCTTGCAATCACACTTGGGAACAGACAACTGCAGAGGGGAAGGTCCAGTGGTGGAAGGAGCTTCTGCTTGTTTGGCTCAGAGCAAGAGACGCGAGATGTAGGAAGTGTTCCCTCAATTGAGCTTCGCCAAGTGTGGCCCAATAACATCCAGGTCATTTTGTCAGCAACAAGGCGGAAGTGCTTTGCCGTTTCTCTCCTCTAGGATGGGCCTTCTGACTTGCTTGCAATTGGTCTTGCTTGCTGGGCCAGTCTCAGATGAAAGTGCTAAGCCACTTAGGCCTTGCTTAGCTTTTCAAGATCAGACAAGGTCGCTGGTACTTGGATCTTGCTGGGTTGGGACTGGGGTTTTGGAGTAGAAATCAAACCAAATGTTGCGAGAGTTGGATTAAGAACTACCATGTCTGGAATATATGGGGACTACAATCTGTCTTGTACCAATTCCCAGAAGTTTAACATCCTTGCTTAAAAGTAAGTGATGGTGGCCAAGGTTCTATCAGGAAAGGTCGGGATTGGGGTTTTGGAGTAGAAACCAAAACACACATGGGGGAGCGACCCCTTGCAAGGTCGTGCTGAGGATTTTGCGCATCATCTGCACGATAAAGTCGCTCAAATTCGGGAAGGCTTGGACTCTGACTGGGTAGGTACAGGCGGGTTGTCCGAGGTGTGTTTTGAGACTGTTATCTGGGATGAGTTTGACCCTGTGACTCCTGAGGACGTGGACAGGATGCTGGGGAGGTTGAACGCAACCACATGTTTATTGGACCCGTGTCCCTCCTGGTTGGTGCTGGCTACCCGGAAGGTTACACGAGGCTGGCTCCAGAGGATTATAAACGCTTCCTTGAGTGAGGGGTTCTTGCCTCCCGCCTTGAAAGAGGCGGTGGTGAGGCCCCTCCTCAAGAAGCCCTCTCTGGACCCAGCTGTTTTGGCAAACTATCGTCCAGTTTCCAACCTTCGCTTCTTGGCGAAGGTTGTTGAGAGTGTGGTTGCACGACAGTTCCCGCAGTATCTGGATGAAACCATCTATCTAGATCCGTTCCAGTCCAGCTTCAGGTCCGGGTACAGCACGGAAACGGCATTGGTCGCGTTGGTTGATGATCTCTGGAGGGCTCGAGACAGAGGTTGCTCCTCTGTTCTGGTCCTATTTAGACCTCTCAGCGGCTTTTGATACCATCGACCATGGTATCATGCTGCGCCGGTTGGAAGGGTTGGGAGTGGGGGGCACTGTCTTACGGTGGTTCCCCTCCTATCTCTCTGACCGGTCGCAGTCTGTGTTGGCTGGGGGGCAGAGGTCGACCTCAAGGCACTTGGTTTGTGGGGTGCCACAAGGGTCGGTCCTCTCGCCTCTCCTGTTCAACATTTATGTGAAGCCGCTGGGCGAGATCATCCATGGTTTTGGGGTGCAGTGCCATCTGTATGCTGATGACACCCAGCTGTACATCTCCACCCCAGACCACCCCAATGATGCCCTTGAAGTGATGTCCTGGAGGCCGTGCGGGTCTGGATGGGGAGGAACAGGCTTTGGCTCACCCCTTCCAAGACTGAGTGGCTGTGGCTGCCGGCGTCCCGATATAGTCAGCTGGTGCCATCGCTGACTATTGGGGGCGAGACATTGGCCCCCACGGAGAGGTCGTGTAATTGGATGTCCTCCTGGACACACGGCTGTCTTTAGAAGAGCATATGACGCTGTGGCCAGGGGGGCTTTCTATCAGGTTCGCCTGATACGCCAGTTGCGCCCCTTTCTGGATCAGGACTCCTTATGCACAGTCACTCATGCCCTCGTTACTTCCTGCCTGGACTACTGCGACGCTCTCTACATGGGGCTCCCCTTGAGGAGCACTCGGAGGCTCCAACTGGTGCAGAATGCGGCCGCGCGGGTACTTATGGGGGCGACATGGCGCTCCCACGTGACACCTCTCCTGCGCGAGCTGCATTGGCTTCCAGTAGTCTTCCGAGTGCACTTCAAGGTGTTGCTTCTCATCTTCAAAGCGCTCCATGGCTTAGGACCCGGTTACTTACGAGACCACCTTCTGCCTCCGATGACCTCCCACCGGCCAACACGCTCCCACAGAGAGGGCCTCCTCAGGGTGCCGTCTGTCAGGCAATGTCGGCTGGCGAACCCCCCGGGGAAGAGCCTTCTCTGTGGGGGCACCCGCCCTCTGGAATGAGCTACCCTCAGGGATACGACTAATCCCGGACCTCCGGACCTTCTGGACTTTTTTTATTTCAGCAAGCTGGGCTGGGTTAAAAATCTTTTCATTGGGGAATTTTATGGGCAAAGGGGTTTTAAATTGGAGAAGCCAAAGATAATTTAATTTCGTTTTAATGTATTTTAATATTTGTATTGTGTGTTTTTAATTTTGGCTGTTCACCGCCCCGAGTCCTTCGGGAGAGGGGGCGGTATAAATATTAAATAAATAAATAAATAAATAAATAAATAAATAAATAAATAAATAAATAAATAACTCTGTCTTATCCCAATGACAGAATTCCCAGAGGTGTAGCATCATTGAATAAAAGTCACTGATCATTTAGTAGAAAACCCCTATTGGGAACAGTCCTGCTGGCCACCTTGGAATGGCTTCACTGGTGGACTCCGTTGTCCTATAGGAGCTCTAATAGGAACACGGACAGTTTCAACTCGATTATTTCTTAATACTCCCAAGAATGTCCCTTCCACTTCCCCGTGGTCAGCACCTCTACTGGTAGGCAGCCAATAATTTTGCCTTTCATCCATAATAAGTAAATTAAGATGCTGAGTTATAATCCAGGCAGTTTTATCACCTGGGCCCTTTGGGCTCTTCAGCTTAAATCCATTTCAGGCAGGAGCTACTGCCCCAGAAATAAACTAGCCATCTTCTCTCTTTGCCTTCTATAAGGCTGCTGGCTGTACTACAGGAAAAAACTCCGTCAGGCAACGACAACTCACCCTGAGGATATTCCTTTACAAAAACTTTGTCCTTCCTCTCCTTATGGCACTGAAGATGAGATTCGATCAACGGCAATGCTCCCATCCAAAATGACATTTGAGGTGAGCCTCACTATTGCTGAAGTCTATTTAAGAGACAAAACTTGGGGCTTTTTTTTTTTTTTATTTGATTTATATGCCACCCTTCTCCGGAGACTCAGGGTGGCTTACAATGCGTTAAGCAATAGCCTTCATCCTTTTGTATATTTATACAAAGTCAGCTTATTGCCCCCACAAACTGGGTCCTCATTTCACCTACCTTAGAAAGGATGGAAGGCTGAGTCAACCTTGAGCCTTGGCGAGATTCGAACCCTGCAGTAATTGCAGGCAGCTGGTCTTAATAAGCTTAATAACAGGGTGCCTTAAACCCCTGTACTACCAAGGCTTGAAGAATACCTGAGAACCGGTGGTGAAATCCAAATTTTTATACTATCAATTCTGTGGGCGTGGTTTGGTGGGCATGGTGTGGCTTGGTAGGCGTGGCTTGATAGGCATGGCAGAGGAAGGATACTACAAAATCCTCATTCCTTCCCCACTCCTGGGGGAAGGATACTGCAAAATCTCCATTCCCACCCCACTCTGGGCCAGCCAGAGGTGGTATTTGCCGGTTTTCCGAACTATTCAAAATTTCCACTACTGGTTCTCCAGAACCTGTCAGAACCTGCTGGATTTCATCCCTGCTGAGAACCAACATCTTCAGGATTGTTGGGGTTGAAAATTCATCCTGAAAGTCTTCCCAAGATAGCCATGGAGGGATGGTGGCATGTCTGGGGCTCCTGTGGGGTTCAGCCCCACCTCTTGGGGACCCTCCAATCAACTGCTCTACAAGAGAAAATCAGTCAAAGCTCAGCTTCTCTGGTCCTCCAGCTCCAAGGAAGGAGACTGAGACAGGAAAGGGTCTGGGAGTAGGAAGGGGGGCATCCTGGGAAAATGGGGAATTTCTGTCCAGGAAGGAGAGGAGGAGAAAGAGACGGTGAGCTGGAAAAACATGGGGGAGGTGCTCTAGGATAAAGGCTTCTTGATCATGAGCTGGAGGTATAAGAGAGACAAGAGCAAGGAAACACTGGGGGGAATAGTGATCACCTCTTCCTAGAAGATCCCTCTCTCAAGAGGGATCTGTTTGTATGGAAGGGCAGTGCAAATCTTTCTCTTCTTTGGTTCCAGGGTTGCTGTGGGCAGAATAGACAACTAAGGGAAGAAGAGAAAACACCTCTGAAGGCTTCATCGGATGCCTATCCAGACAATATGGAAGAGCCAGCCATGGAGACTTCAGAGTGCGGCCCAGAAGAACATCTTGAAGATGCTGAAGCCACCAAGCAAGGAATGGAGGGGCTGGAGGAAGAAGGGAGTCCAGATCCTTCAGAGGAACAAGTGGATGAGCACCTGGCTGGAGAGGAAAGGGGAGAGATGCAGCTGGAAGGGCTCACAGATCCAGCCAGAAGCCCAGGATGGAGAAGAATTGCAGCTGCAGCTGATCAGGAAGGATGAGGAGGAACTGCCTCCTCCACCATAGGACTGAACAGAGAGAGGCACAATGGAGGTCAGTGAGGTTACTCTCAAGGAGGCAGCCTCTTTCCTCCTAAGGAGCTACACCAGCACATGCCTTCTTAGTCCAACATTTGGGCAATGCAGTGTCAGAAACAACCACACATTTTCCTAACATGCAGGTACCATAACTCTGTGACTGTTGTTCACATGACTTTGGATCTGTGCTTCATGTTGCCTCCATTTGGACTTTGGACCTGCTTCTCAGACTTTGGACTTTGGCTTGGATTTGGAATTCTGAATTATGCATGAATTTTTGTGCCACATTGGCACATAAGGCAGCCTTCACTTCCTGCCACTTCAGGCTGGAGTCTCCCTGCATGTGCGAATGCTCCCGGCTCAGCCACAGTTGGCCAGGGAGTTACGAGAGGGTGGGGGAGGAGGAGGACGTTCGCCCAAAGGGTGGGGGGAAAGACACACACACACATACTGAAGTGGTTCGGGAATAACGAGAGGCACAACCAAGCTAGTGACAACAGCTCTTTAATTTACAGTGAGACATCAGCAAAAACTCAGAGGCTGCAGCCCTCCTTATATACAATCCTGGAGGGACTGTCAGCCAATCAGAAACGTAGGCAGGTTTGAAACTCCCGCTTAAAAGTATCAATACATAACACCCTTCCCTTCCCAGAAGGCACTAACATTCAAATATTTACATAAGTACACACAAAATCTCGCAGGTGCCCAGGCCGAGTTCTCGTCCTAGTTGACCTGCTCAGTTCAGTGTTTGGTGGGGCGTCGAGCTGGTCGGAGGGACTTTCTGTCTCTCCCGGCTCCGCCAATGGAACCTCCTGGATTTTGTCCGGGGCATGGTTATCCCCGGTTGGGAGTGGCGACTCGCTGGGGCAACGCTGGAACCAGGGCTTGTCAGCTAAGTATTCTCGCGAACCCGGGCTTGAGTTAGCTGTTTTGGGAAAGTTGTTATAGTTAGGCTCGGAGATGTCTAAATTGATGTTTGCTTCGCCGACTACCCTTTTTCTCAGCTGGTCTATGTGGCGCTTCCAGAGTCTGTCTACCCCTACGTCTACCGTATAAGATTTCGGGCCCGTTATGCCCACTATGGTTCCTGCAACCCATAGAGGTCCGCTGGCATAGTTGCGAGCGAACACCGGGGACCCAACCTGAAACTGTCTTAGTCCAGAGGTCTCTCCCTTGAAATTTTCGTGCGAGTAGTTAGGATGAAGCCTATCTAACACGCACCGAAGCTTCCTGCCCATGAGGAGCTCTGCTGGGCTTCTCCCTGTGGCTGTGCATGGTGTGGCATGCTGGACAGCTAAGAATTGGTCTATCCTGGCCTGCCAGTCCCCGTTATCTAGTCTGGATAGGGCCTCTTTGGCCGTTCTTACAAAACGTTCGGCCAATCCGTTAGAAGCCGGGTGGAACGGGGCCGATAGGGCATGGCGGATGCCCAGTCCGGCCAAGTAACCCTCGAACAGGGTTGCTGTGAATTGAGGGCCGTTGTCAGATACTAGAGTATCCGGTAGGCCATGTGTGGCAAATAGCTTGCGAAGGGCTTTAATGACTGCCTCAGCTGTGGTAGAGGGCATTAGAATTATTTCGAGCCATTTCGAAAAGCCATCAACTACAATTAAAAATGTTTGCCCATGGAAGGGTCCAGCGAAATCAACATGGATCCTCCCCCATGGCCCTTTTGGTTTCTCCCACTCTCGGATGGGCGCTACTGGGGGATCGGGGCGAGACTCCTGGCAGGGTCTGCACTTCCCCACCCACTCAGAGATAACTTGGTCCATGTTGGGCCACCATACATAACTGCGGGCTAAACTTTTCATTCTGACAATGCCTGGATGCCCTTCGTGCAGCAATTCTAAGACCCTTGTTCGTAGTTTCGTTGGCACTACCACCCTGTCACCCCACAACAAACAACCACCTTGCGTAAACAGTTCATTTCGTTTGTTTACAAAACCTTGGTAGTCCCCCCCGTCCACCTTGACCGGCCACCCTTTCAGCACCCACCCCATCACAGTGCGAATGATCGGGTCCCTGGCTGAGGCTTTTGCCACTTCGGCAGAGGAAATAGGTCCCAAAGTTAATGTGTCCAATAGAAGGACGGAGGCCTCTGGTGTTGGATTGGTCAGTAAGTCAGGTAGGGGGCAGCGGCTGAGGGCATCCGCGTGACCCAGGGTCCGTCCGGGTCGATGTACAAGCTGATATGAATAGGCCGAAAGAAAAATAGCCCATCTAGTCAAACGTGGGGAAAGAGCAGCGGGGGTGGGCCTGTCGCCTGCCAAGAGTCCTAGCAAGGGCCGGTGATCAGTCACAAGTTCGAATTGCCGGCCATAAAGGTATTCGTGGAACTTTTTAACCCCCGCAATTGCAGCCAGAGCCTCTCTGTCCAATTGACTATAGTTCCGCTCTGCGCTTGACAGAGTGCGAGAGTAAAACGCAATGGGCGCCTCTAGGCCGTTCGGCAGTCTATGGCCTAGGACGGCACCAACTCCTACGGGGGAGGCGTCACAAACCAATACAAGCGGTAGCGCCGCGTTGTATTGGATTAGGAAACTGTCTTCCGATAGAAGTCTCTTTACAGCCTCAAATGCGGCTGCTTGTGGTTTCCCCCAGACCCATGGTACATTCTTCCCCAATAGCTTGTGTAGGGGATCTGCGACGGTAGCCTTGTCTTTCAGGAACATTGAGTAAAAATTGAGCAGTCCAAGGAAGGCTTGGAGCTCTGCTTTGGTCTTGGGGGCAGGTGCGCTGTTAATAGCTCTCACCTTGCTTTCGGTAGGGTGGATGCCTGTGCTGTCCACCCTGTACCCCAAAAATTCAACGGAGGGGGCTGCTATCATACACTTGTTTTTTTTTTAATTTGAGTCCCGCTTCCCTGAATCTGAACAGGACGTTTCTAACTCTGTCCCCTAGTTGTTGTTCGTCCTGAGCGCTGACTAGGACGTCATCGAAATATGGCACCATCCCGGGAAGCCCTTGCAACAGGCGCTCCATGGTGCTTTGAAATAGGCCGGGTGCTATGCTCACCCCGAACTGGAGCCTGGTGCATTTAAATGCACCCCTATGGGTTACTATTGTCTGTGCCTCAGCCGTGGCATCGTCGACAGGAAGTTGTTGATAGGCCTGGGCCAGGTCTAGTTTGGCAAAAATTTTTCCTGGCCCCAGGGAGTGTAGTAGATGATGCACGATCGGCACCGGATAGGCGCTCGGCTGCAAAGCCTTGTTGATCGTGCACTTGTAGTCGGCGCAAATTCTAATTGAGCCGTCCGACTTGACTGGGGTCACTATGGGGGTTTCCCATTTTGCGTGGTCAACAGGAACCAAGATTCCTTGTTTAATTAATTTGTCCAGTTCCGCATCGATCTTTGGTTTCAATGCAAAGGGCACCCGTCTCGCCTTGAGTCTTATTTGGGCTACGTTGGGGTCTAGATTAAGAGAGATAGGGGTCCCCACATACTTGCCCAACGTGTCCCCGAAAACGTCCTGGAACTCGGTCAGGAGACTGTGTTTTAACGATGACTTGAGCATCTGGTGGACGCCGGTGAAGCCCATGCCGAGGGCTTGGAACCACCCCATGCCGAGAAGGCTGGGAAGCTGCTTCGTGATGATGGTCAGTGGCAGGTCTCTTTCGTAGTCTCCGTAGGTGACTCGGAACGTGCCCACGCCGTCGAGGGGGACTCGCTTCCCCTGGTAGTCTAGGATGCGCAGTCTCTGTTTGGAGAGCTGGTCCTTCCAGAACGACGGCAGTAGGGTCTTTAGGGTCGCCCATGACATTATGGAGAGAGCTGATCCGGTGTCGATCTCCATCGAGCATGGCTTGCCGTTGATTTCGACCACCGTGCTGACTTTGTCCTCGATTTCCGCACTGGCCTGGTCTATGTGAATGCTGCGGCCATCTCGAGGTTCAAATTCGCGCCGTTTTTTCGCGCCGCCTTCTCTCGTTGGTTGTTTCTGGCGCATTGATTCTGGTTGGCTGTGGCGCTCACGTGGTTGGTGTTTTCTGGGCAGAATGGCTCTACAGACTCGCGCCAAGTGCCCTTTTTTCTCACAACGCCTGCAGATAGCCTCCCTGTATTTGCAGGACAGTCTATCATGGTGCCCTCCACAGCTGGGACAGCTTCGCCGCGGGCTGCCTGTGTCCTTTCTCTGGTGCTCCGTTCGGAAGACGTCCTCATCCGACTCGGACTCCGAGCTGGATCCGGCGTCTTCTCTGTGCACCGGGGCAGACTTGGGGTTGTCTTTGCTGGTCAGTGGACGCTGCAGCGTTTCTGCGGCTTTTGTGGAGGCTTCATGAGCCCTGGCCTCGTCTAGGGCTCCAGCAAGCGTCAAATCAGGCTTGGCGAGCAGGCGCCGTTGCAGCCTAATGTCCCGGACACCACAGATAAGTTGCTCAAGCAACGCATCGTCCAAGTCTCTATAGTCGCAATGGGTTGCGGCTTTTCTCAGGCTGGCCATGTATGCGCTGACCGGTTCTCCCTCTCGCTGAACGCGCTGTCTGAGTTAAGTAAGTAGAACCCACCCCTGCTGGGTAGACATGGCTAGGTGATCATGTGACTGGGTGGGAGTGAGTGACATTGAGTTGGCCATGCCCACCCAGGTTTTGTGGCTCCTGGTGTGTTTTTTTGCTGTAGGAAACTGGTCCAAGTGGCTCTTTGAGTGTTTAAGGTTGCCGATCCCTGGCCTAGCCTTGCATTCAGTGGAATTTTGCCATAGGTGTGAGTGGCACCTGGGGAATACTACAAGGGACATTGTCCTCATTTTTTGGACCTGATCAGGGTCAAATTAAAATCATCTCTTGGCCTAATTCCATCAAGACCAAATTAACCCTTTGACAGTGGCCAGGGAGGGAGCAATTTCCTTTCATTACTTTTATTTTCTCCACTAAAAGCAAACCCTCTTTTGTGGGGAAGGCAACCACTCTCAACCCCAGTATGGTTTCCTTAAACAGAAGGGCAAGATGTGGGTTGCACTTCTTTCCGGGTGTTGGAACTGCTTCCCAAGTCAGCCTTCCATTCTGATTGTTCCTCGTGGTCTCCCATCCCAGCCATGCAGAGACAGAGCAGGGCAGTCATCTTTATTTGAGGGGCCCACGATTCTTCCAGGGCAGATCAGGGGGCACGCTCCAGGTCCCTTCCCTCTTGTGGGTCTTCAGAAGCCTCACGTTGCTGTTACAGCCCCTGCCCTATGCAAGAAGTCCAACAGCCCCCACTCACAACAGTTTAAGAGTGAAAAAGCATTGGGTCAATTTGACTGATAGATAAAACACTTGCACATTTGAGATATTTATCAAGAGAATCATGTAAAATTGCGAATTAACAAGTATAGATGAAAAATGTATTATCATTTGTAGACTGGCAATGCATGGGAGTGGATCAGTGCGGGGTTGCTACCGGTTCTCCCCAGTTCTTGCAAACCGGTAGTGGAAATTTTGAGTAGTTCAGAGAACTGGTAAATACCACCTCTGCCACCCCACCCCCAATCTATTCACTGCCTCCCGACTCCCAGCTGATCGGCTAGAAGGAAAAAATCAGGGCTCACTTGACAAAGAAGAGAGAAAAAAACAAGACACCATCACTTTAAATTGAGAAGCCAAGAAGGCTCCCAACTGATCGGCTAGAACTGATCTGCTCCTTGTAAATCGGTGGTGGTAGATTGGCAATTGAGGCCAAGCTGCCTGAAAGCGGTTTCCGATGCTCTCAGTAGTGGCAGAGTAGCAAAAAACTGTTTAAACTTGCCGCGGCGCTTCAAAGGGCCGCCCTACAGCTGATCAGTGGTAAAAGGCAGTGTGGTGGTAGACCAGTGCCTCCAAAAACAAATGAGTAGACCGGAATGCTCCAAAA